CTTGGGCTCTGCCCCACCCTGCCGGGGTGGTTTTCCATCTCCTAGAAATGAGATGTTCTCCTGAACCACCAAATCCACACACGGGGGAGCATGGCACCACCATAAAGGCGTAAAATGTGTCCCACAAAGGGTGTTCTGCATCTTCCCCCCTGCTCTGGGACAACATTGCTGTGCAGCAGGAGAGCTGTGATGGGTGATGGGCTGATCCCCCTCAAGGATCCCACTGCAGCAGGTGGGATCCTTCACTCTGCACTACAGGGATCACAATAGCCCGGTTAAAATGAGACACTGTCCAGGCTTTAGGGTGCAGAAGGCAAATTTCCCTCTCCAAAGCATTCCTTTGGAAAGAGGGTTTGGGCTGCTTTTAGGTTCTACCTCACTAGGTTTTGTGTAGTTTTAGACTTTATAAAGTTTCTCTTGGGGGAATTTGTTAGATGGGCAGAGGAGATGAGGATAAAATGTTGGACATGCCATTGTTAGCCCCTGAGTGTGTATTAAATTGGGAGAAAACATGGAAGAGCTGTAGATGTAAAAAAAAAAAAAAGGACTAAGAAAATGAAATTCTTCTTTCATACCATGTGCAGACAAACAAAAATCAGTTCAGGTCATTGTGTTCTCCTTGGGAATCATAAGGCAAAAAATCTCTTTCAGAGAAGATACCTCACATGTAAGAGTTAATTTTACAGTTTCAACAGATTCATTTTTCCTTCTTATACTTTAAGGTTTTATATTCATCTCAGGTTCCTCTACTCTCAGGGTGGTTGATCTTTCAATGATCTCTGTATGTTCTCAAGCAGCAAATGTTCTGTTTTGCCTCCTCCCAAAGGGTACACTGGCTACATCCCCTGCTCCCTGGACAACGTTGGCATGACCTACCTGCTGGGTGTGAAGAAAGCCATGCAGGAATTTGACCGTCGCCAGGTAAATTATGGATTATTGAAATGAGGATGTGCATAATGCTGGTGCTGAATTTTCAGGATTTTAGAACTGGATTATTGGACTAGATTATTGAAATGAGAATGTGCATAATGCTGGTGCTGAATTTTCAGAGTAGGATTAGAACTGGGATACAAGCACAAGCAAAATCAAATGCTGTTAACATTGAAAAAAACCACTGGCAATTAAATCCTGTAACTTGTTTCCTTGGGACATTAAGGGATGGTAAATGAGTTCATAAAAGGATTAAGGAAATATAGTGAGGGCTGGGTCAAGAGTAGCTGTTAAAAACGTTGCTCTGTGTGCAGAAATACAGGATGCAACTATCTGCACTTCCTTTATAGCTTACATCTCCTCCGTCTGCTGGCAGTGCTGGTGACTTCCTGTGATATATCATTTATTTGGTTGTAAGGCTTTCTCCTTTCCTAACACAATTTGTCTTCAAGGGATCTTGACCTTCTTCCTCCTCCTTTTGGGAAGGATGCAGAAAGATCCCTCCTGAAAGGCTGCTGTCCCCTTGCTGTAAAAGCTCCCGTACAGTGACACACAATCCTCGGCACGGAAAGGGAGATCCCTCCCGCAGCAACTGAGTTTGCATTCAGGGCTGCCCAGCCCTCCCTGCCCCCAGCACGGCGTGAGATCCTGGGGTGCAGAGAGATCCTGGGGTGCAGTGAGATCCTGGGGTGCAGAGAGATCCTGGGGTGCAGTGAGATCCTGGGGTGCAGAAGGATCTCTGGGGTGCAGTGAGATCCTTGGATGCAGTGTCATTCCCAGGGTGCAGTGAGATCCTTGGATGCAGTGTGATTCCTGGGGTGCAGAGGGATCCCTGGGAATGCAGTGGGATTCCTGGGGTGCAGTGTGATTCCCAGTGTGCAGAGGGATCTCTGAGGGGCAGAGGGATCCCCATGATGCAGTGTCATTCCCGGGGTGCAGAGGGATTCCCGTGGTGCAGTGAGATCCTTGGATGCAGTGTGATTCCTGGGATACAGTGGGATCCCTGAGGTGCAGAGGGATCCCTGTATGCAGTGTGATCCCCAGGGTGCAGTGAGATTCCCTGGGATGCAGAAGGGTCCCTAGATGCAGTGTCATTCCCGGGGTGCAATGTCATTCTCGGGGTGCAGTGAGATCCCTGGGATGCAGCAGTATGCCCGGGGTGCAGTGTCATTCCCAGGATTCAGCAGCCTCTCAGGTCCAGCGGATCAGCTCATTACCCCCAGGCTGAGCCCCCCAGCCCCTGCCGCTCTCCGGGCCCCACGGCCGTGCCTCCATCCCCTCCATCCCCGAGCACAAGGGGCTGATGTCGGAAAAGCATCCCGGGCTCAGGATGCCCAGCTCGGAGGAATCATCTGGGCAGAACTGAGCGGGGAGCGCAGGGCAGCGCGGAGCTCTGCATGAGCTGCATTCCCTGCGCTGCTGCTGTCTGCTTCCCTGCTGCCGTGCTTGAAATGGAGCAAACGGAACAAACCCCGGGCATTTATCCCTGAGTGTGCTGTGTGCCCCCTTCCTGCCCCGCTGCCCTCGGACACGCCTGCCGTGCCCTGGATCGGCCGTCCGTCCGTGCGGGATGCAGCGCCCCGGGCTGCGGGGCTCGGCAGACGCGCTGAAGGGAGGAGAATCACACCACAATTCCAGCTAAGATGGCTTCTGACTTCAAGCCACTAATCTGCTGCCCTAAATCTTCGTTGTCCTCGGTTACAGATGTGCCATGGATCGCTGCTCACTGCCTGCAGCAGGCACGGCAGAAACCCCCGAGGAGCCACAACCTGGGCTCCATCCCAGCACAAAGGCTCGGTGTGCCGGGCTCCGTGACCCACATCCCTGCTCCGCACCCCAAACACAGCTCCAGGGACACCTTTAGGGCTTCTGTGACACCCATGCTGCTGGCCAGCCTCAGAGGGCAGGAGATGATTTGCACTCTTCCTTCGGTTAATGCTCCCTAAGCCTTCCTGTTCCTCCTGGCCTGGGAATCCCAGGCCGTTCCTGTTGGTGGGACTCATGGAAACACAAAGGGGGTCAAGCCCAAGCACAGCCACAGCACAGGAACACCAGGGACAGCAGAGCAGGAGCTCTGGGACTTGGGGATGATCCCCAAGGAAATAAATCAGGATCAGGATCCCAAGGACAGCACCTGGGCCATGCTGTGGCCATGGGGGATGAGCTGGCAGGGGCTGCTGCCAACACCTGTCAGGAGAAAAATTTATGGAGTGGAAAAAGGGACAATGCAATGTAGCTCTTAATTAGAAAAAAGCAGGACTGGAAGGAGAATTGCTTTATGTTGGCTTAAATATTTTATGTAATGCAGAGTCAAAGCACATGACTTTGGTAAAAATAGTGTGTTTTAAAATAAACTGTTCCATGTTGTTTTGGGGTCTTTTCTGTTTTGTTTTCCAGCTTTTGGAGAGAAATCCACCTTACACGTTGGGCAGGAGGTTCCCCCTGACACACTGGCCAGACACCAAAATTTATACCCGTGCTGGACTCATCCCCAACTACATGGGCTTTGTACCACGTAAGTGCATCAGCTGAGTGAAAATAAAAGTCACTAATGCTAATTACTGGGTTAAGTAGTGCTGTTACTGGCTGGAGTTTCATAGCAGTGAACAATCACTGAGGTGTTCCACGTGGGTTTTTTCTGGTGTGTGCTGAGCTGCTGGAACCCTGCCATGCCCTGGCTGCAGGAGAGCCCAGCGTTCCCACTGCCAGCCGCTCCCAGGCTTCACATTTCCAGCCACCATTCCCCACCCAGTGACATCCCACCTGTCACGTGCCAGGAAAGGGGTTTGCTCTAAAAACCTTGAAGTCTGATAAAAAGGAAAAAGTAGATGGTGTGGCCGAGAAAGCACAGAAAGGGCAGGGAAATGGTTTTTGCCATCAGGACAGGTCCCTGCCTGAGCCCTGTCCTGGGCTGCCTAAAAGGAGAGCTCTGGAGGAATTTTGTGTGTAAGGGGAAGGTGTGTCCATGCACCTGGAAGCATTAATGTACCAGGTTAAAAAAAATCTCAATAAATTTTGCTGTGTTTGGTCACAGCTCAGTAATGTGGGTGGGAAATCATGGAGCTCAGCTGGGAAGAACTGGACTCACTGCTCATCCTTGCTGCAGTGCAGAGGGAGAAAATGGGAGAAGATATGAAATGTGGCAGGATTGAAAGCAGAGTGGGAAAACAACTCTGCAGGCAGGGCTGGGCTGTGGCTGCTGAGCCCAGAGAGCAGGATGTTGAGTGCAGGTGTGACACTGGGCCCTGCTCTGCAGACATTCCCACTTCCCTGCTCTGGAGCCACCAGTCAGCACAGTTTTAACTGCTCCAACCAGTCCGGCTCTGGGTGGAGAAAATTAATTAAGGCAAAAACCTTTAAACAAAAGCAGTTATAATTTAGAACATTGAAGATTATTTTTTTAGCAGGGAAGGAGCCTGCTCCCTCCTGTCCAGCTCCTCAGTGACAGCTTTGTCAGCTGAAGTGGCACCAATCATATGAATTGGTTCCATTGTAAAAGCCTGGAGCCATGGAGGGTTTTCATGAGAAAACAAGTCCCAGACACTTGTCAGGTGTTCAGCTCACCCAAAGAGCAGAGGCTGCACAAACACCTGATTATCCCAACCTCTGCTGTGATTTCTGAAATCACTGCAGCAGGGCTGTGTGCACCCAGCACCCTTGGGCCAGGCCAGGGCTGCCTGCTGGGGTTGCAGGGCTGAGGAGCTGCAGTGGAGCAGCTCAGCTGCTGCAGGAACACTAGCGCTGGGTGCAGCTCTGTGGCACCATTTTGTGCCCAGGCAGCTCAAAGCTCCTGTGAGCCCTGCTCAGCTCCTGCCAGGCCCGGCTGCACCAGGCCACAGGCAGGTACCTAAATTTAGACACAGCCTGGAGTTAATCCCACCCTCCCTGTTAAATGTGCCCCCCTCCAGCAGCACCTGAGTGTAAGAGAACACCAGGGAACAGCTTTAGTCCCCATACCAGACTGACACCATGGCAGTGACACAGCAGAGGCACCTGGCTGAGGGCAGGGACAGAAGGGGGGGGACATGGACAGGGTGACAGTGCTAAGCCCCATGTTTTATTGTTTTTATGTTCCAGATCTGCAGGACATCTGTGGGCTCACCTATGGGGACGGCACGCGGGAGTCGTACCGCTGGGAACAGAGGAGACGGGGACTTGCACTGTGAAAACTGCTTTAATGGTGCCTGTACAGCATTGGGAGTGACTCGGAAACAGCAATAATAACACAACACAAACAGAACTTTTTGAATGAGAGAGTTCATACAACTTTAAACAAAATTTACAGGTGTTCAACTGCATAGCTTTACTCTGCCTCCTCCTCAGCCTCCTCCTCGAACTCTCCCTCCTCCTCAGCTGTGGCATCCTGGTACTGCTGGTACTCAGACACCAGGTCGTTCATGTTGCTCTCAGCCTCTGTGAACTCCATCTCGTCCATGCCCTCGCCCGTGTACCAGTGCAGGAAAGCCTTTCTGCGGAACATCGCAGTGAACTGCTCAGAAATGCGTTTGAACAGCTCCTGGATGGCCGTGCTGTTGCCAATGAAGGTGGCAGACATTTTGAGGCCGCGAGGTGGAATGTCACAGACTGCTGTCTTAACGTTATTAGGGATCCATTCAACAAAATAGCTGCTATTTTTGTTCTGAACGTTCAGCATCTGCTCATCCACCTCTTTCATGGACATGCGGCCCCTAAAGACAGCGGCCACCGTCAGATAGCGGCCGTGACGAGGGTCACACGCCGCCATCATGTTCTTGGCATCGAACATCTGCTGGGTGAGCTCTGGCACGGTTAGAGCCCGGTACTGCTGGCTGCCACGGCTGGTGAGCGGGGCAAAACCGGGCATGAAAAAGTGCAGACGTGGGAAGGGAACCATGTTCACTGCCAGCTTCCGCAGGTCAGCGTTGAGCTGGCCCGGGAACCGCAGGCAGGTGGTGACACCGCTCATGGTGGCTGACACGAGGTGGTTCAGATCACCGTAGGTGGGGGTCGTTAACTTCAGTGTTCTGAAGCAAATGTCGTACAGCGCCTCGTTATCGATACAGTACGTCTCGTCCGTGTTCTCCACCAGCTGGTGCACCGACAGCGTGGCGTTGTAGGGCTCTACTACAGTATCTGACACTTTAGGGGAGGGCACCACACTGAAAGTATTCATAATTCGGTCTGGGTACTCCTCACGGATTTTGCTGATGAGAAGGGTACCCATGCCAGAGCCTGTGCCACCACCCAGGGAGTGAGTAAGCTGAAAGCCCTGGAGACAATCACAGCTTTCTGCCTCCTTCCTTACAACATCTAACACCGAATCGACTAATTCAGCACCTTCCGTATAATGGCCCTTTGCCCAGTTGTTTCCTGCTCCGCTCTGACCTGGAAAAGAGCCATTTTCGTATTAGATTACGGTCACTGCTTCCTGCTTATTGCTTGCAAGCAAAGCCTAAGAGCATCAGGCTCCATGAAAGCTTTCATCTTATCGAGCGCAGGGCTGTGGTTTCACACAAGCACCTCTGCAGTGGCTCGCCAGACACAGGCAAACATTAATTATCAATGATACAGCAGCCACTCCATTTCTCCCGGTGGCACGCACGGAGGCGGTAACGAAAAACCGAAAAGCAACGACCTCTGGTGCCACCCGGGAGCCGCTCCCAGCCGCAATCCCGGTATTCCACGCCAGGATTAGCCCCGTCCGGGCCGGTCCCTCAGAGCATGTGCGGCGGGGCAGCCCCGCAGTGCCCTGCCCGCCCCACCCCGCGGTTCCTCCCGCCCCCGCGCACTCACCGAACACGAAGTTGTCTGGCCTGAATATCTGCCCGAAAGGCCCGGAGCGCACCGAGTCCATGGTACCGGGCTCCAGGTCCACCAGCACGGCGCGGGGCACGTACTTGCCGCCTGCAACACAGGGAGAGCCATGACTGCCGCGCCGGGGGAGCGGGGGGAGCACGGGGGGAGCACGGCGGGGCGGGTCCGGGCCCTACCTGTGGCCTCATTGTAGTAGACATTGATGCGCTCCAGCTGCAAGTCGCTGTCCCCGTGGTAGGTGCCGGTGGGGTCGATACCATGTTCGTCGCTGATCACCTCCCAGAACTGCCGAAGAGAAGCGCGTCAGCGGCGGCCACGCCGGACCAGGCACGCTCCCCTCCCGCCCCCGCGCCCTCTTTCCCCGCCCGGACCTTGGCTCCGATCTGGTTTCCGCATTGCCCGGCCTGCAGGTGCACAATCTCTCTCATGATGGCGGCAGCTCCGAGCGCTCACTACAACTCCAGATTTTCCCCAACCGACTCTGGCTGCGTGAGGCAACCGCCAGCCCTTATATAGCAGCGGAATGCGCGCGCAGCCTTCTTCTCCCCGCCCAGGCGGGCACTCGCAGCAACGATTGGATGCCTATAGCGAGGCTCTATAAATGAGAGAACCTAATTGGCTGCGCCGCTGTCACTCAAACCGACGGCTCCTATTCGCCCCGCCCACCTGTCTGTTGGCTTTACAGTTAGGCAACCGGGAGCCGCGAGTGCCCGCCTCAGCTCGCTCACGGCGTTTCTGATTGGCTCAATTGAATGATTGATGTCGAAGCCGATTGGCTGCCGGCCGTGGGGGATGAGCTAACGCCGTTTGATTGGCGGAGAACGAAGTGCCCTGGTAACCGTCGCAGTGACTCCGCAGCGGGCTCTGGGCGGTGGCCGCCGCAGCCGCCCATTCAGGGAGCCGAGTGCGCGTTTTGCGCAGCGGAGGCGCGGCTCCTCCTCACTGCGGGACAAGGCGGGTTCCCCGCGAGTCCCTAGCGCTTTCTCCCCCGCCCCTCACCCTCGCTCCTCCAGCCAGGTCTCCCTCCTTCCTTCCTTCCCCGCCCGTCCCCCCGTCCCTTTCCAGCCGCCGCCGCAGCGCCACGGCGGGTGGGGGAAGGACCCCGCGTGCGCACGCGCGGGCTGCAGCGACATTCCAGCACTTTCTGGCGCGCGGCCCCGGCCCAAGGGTGGCGGGGCCGCGCGCGGGCGTTGTCATGGCGACAGCGCGCGCGGGTGGCGGGAAGGGGCTGGGGCGGGCGGTGTGAGGGCAGCGTGAGGCTGAGGAGGGGCTCTGAGGGCTCAGCCTGGCTCCTTGAGGGCTCGGGGGACTCTGAAGACTCAGGGAGTCTGGCAGCTGTGATAAGGCTGTGGGGACCCGAGGATCTCTGAGGGCTTGGGGGCGCTGTAAGGGCTGTGAGGGAATTGTGAGGGCTTGAGGGGTTTGGGGGCATGGGGAGCAGTGAGAGAGCTGTGAGGGCAGAGGGGTATCCTGGCAGCTGTGAGGGGAATGTGGAGGTTTGGGGATTCTGGGGGCTGTGAGGGGCTGTGAGGGCTTAGGGCTGCTCTGAGCCCTGCAGTGGCAGCTCTGTAGGGGCCCCTATCCTCTGAGGGGAAGGCCCCAGAGAGGGCCTCCTGCCTGCAAGGGGATCTGAGGTAGACATTGCATGCTTCTCAAGGCTTCCCCACATGGCCACCTCCATCCTGGGCTGTGTGTGGGTGCTGCAGCCCTGTCATGAGGCAGCCAGACACCCCGTGCTGGATAAATACCACCCTCGCCTTTCCTTGTCCCTTATTCTACCTCCCAACTTTGTGAGCACATTCTTGCCCAGACAGGGCATCCATTGGTCACAGTTTTATTAAGCATATTTGATTATTGTTTCAGCAGAATCTTTTTATGGTTGTATGTATTCATTGTGATGCTGGCTTGGTCTACAAGTCCCAGCATCTCTTCTTGTTTCATACTGGAACAAAAACTTGAAAGAGGCTCCTAATGGAGCTGCCAAGGCAGGGAGTCTGGTCCTGCTGCCTTGCCGTGGGGTGGGCTGAGGCAAAGGCAGCCATGACCTCGATTCTGCTGACACAGGCCAGCTCTGTGTGACACACAAACGGCTCGAACACATCCTGGAATCTGTGCCTGGATAACAATAATCCAATCCTGTGCCTGGGTCAGGTGAGGAGGAGGTGGCAGGATATAGAAGCCCCGTGAAGGCTTTGGCTGGAGGCTGAATGGCCTCTGGTAGTCAGCTTAATACAAAGATTATGATGGTCGATATTTCTGGCATATAAACAACATATTCTTGCAGAGGAAGGAGTCCAGGAACACTTGGAGCAGCCCCAGGGCATCAGGAGTGACTGAGAGGGTCCTGGGACAGGCCTGTGTCTGCCTCTGAGGTGTGTGTGAGACACACACAGCTCATCCCTCACAGCCACAGCCAGAATGCAGGAGGTTCATGCAGCAACCTTTGAGACAGCTGAGTAATGCAGAGCCATTAGGGTCCAGATTTATCCTGCTAATTACAGGCATTGATTAAATAGTGTTCACACTGGAATCAGTGGAAAGGGATGGCTCAGCCCACTCCAGCTCAGAGCACTCCTCTGACATCACCTTTCTGTTCTCTGTGATGGTGTCTGAGGTGACCAATTCCAAAAACTGCAGCATCATTTAGGTACTAAAGGCAGCCAGGATGAATCTGTACAAGACTTGCTCAAGGTTTCACACAAGGCTGTGCTAATCAGTCAAGACAGCTTTTCCTGCAGGATGTGATGCCTCTCTTCAGAGCAATGTACAAAAAGAATCCAGGCTTCTTTCTGATTAAAAGCAGGGAATGTGGAGTGTGCTGCCTGTGTGGTGCTGTCTGGGGAGGCACATTCAGCATCAATTCTCTTCAGGTGTGCTCAGCACAGCGTTCAGAGGCATGTGTGCTCGGGAAACCCTGGAAAACCTGCCCTGAGATGGAGTGGGGGAGCCTCTGCAGGGCTTGGGGGAGGTGTTCTGCCACAAGTGCTGCTGTATTTAATGCAGGCACAGCTTTGGGGGTTTTCAGCCAGGGCCAGAAAGCAAAGGCCTGTGCATTAGTGCCATCCATGTCCTCACTGTGTGAGCAATCCCGAGCTGTATTTAATGCTGCTGTATTTAATGCAGGCACAGCTTTGGGGTTTTTTCAGCCAGGGCCAGAAAGCAAAGGCCTGTGCATTAGTGCCATCCATCTCCTCACTGTGTGAGCAATCCCCAGCCTTTGTGCTTCCCACAGCCTCTACTCCAGCCTGCACTGCCTTTCATGTTTGGGAAGCTGCTCTGTAATGTGTGCAGTGAGCAATTGTTGCCACCCCCAGCATTCCCAGAGGGAGTGTGAGAGTGGAAATGCTCTGCTCGGTTAAGGCTCCCATACCTGTCTGCAGAGCCCAGGGGAGCAGGGCTAGGACCCTATGGAGCAGTTCAGCTTTGCTCTCTGAGCTTCTAGAAGTTTCCCCAGGAGATTCAGCCACCTGAATATCTAAGGAGGAGGCATTTCAAATTATTTGTGCAACGTTAATTTTTGCCAATTTTAGCCCAGTCAGTGAATATTTCTGTTCTTAGCTACCTGCACATCCACAGGAAAGGACAGCTCTATCTAAAATATTTTTCCATTTTTAAATTGAATTAAAATGCCAGTCCTTTTCTCTGAGAAGGAGCACAGTGAGGAATCTCCATGGAGAGCTGCTGGAGCTGCTGACCATGCCAGCCCTGGTGTTTCTAAGGCTGTGGCATTAATTAGTGTGTGCCAGGGGTGAGCTGGCAAGTGCCAGGGCAGGTCTGTGCCAGAACCCTGCCTCACATGGAGCATTCCTCACAGGGTGGGAGCATTGAATACTGAGTGTGAGGGAAATTCTGGGACAAAAAGCTGCACATTCCACGGTCCTGCCTGAGCCAATGCTGAAGTGAATTTCTTGGTTTAGTGGAGAGTTTGCAGCTTGCCAGAGTAGGGAATGCTGGGAGGGCAGAGAAAGGAGCAGCACTGAGGTGGGATGTTTGTGGCTCCCACGTTGTGTTTCCATTGCAGACATCTGTCTCGGCTGGTGTTTGATTACTCTGAAAGCTCTCCTCAAACTCTGCTGCAAGTGACAAGCAGGGAGGTCTCACCTCATTTAGGGGCAGATCCCATCTGTAAGTGCTGCATCAATTAATGCTGTAAGAGGGGTCCTAGAAAACATCAGGGCAGTGTTACATGGCCAAAGACCCTGGGTATAACCCAAAGAGAGAAGTTAAAACAAGTTGGAAATCGCATTTCTGTTTTGCTGAATTAGATATTAGGGTTTAAATAAACCTTTTTATTGCAATTGTTTTGGTTTTGTAACTACCTGTATTGCCCTTTGCTTGGAAACAGATTTTACTGTAAACACAACTGGTTTGGACAGGGTGGGGAGGGACTTTCTTTTCACTTTTGCATGTTACCTTCCCCTTTTACTGAAGTGTTCTCTGTGTACAGAGCTGATCCCTCCCCTCAGCAGGCAGGCACACACAACTGTCCTTCCTCTCAGTGCTTAACCAGTGAGATTGCAGCCTGTGTGTGAAACAGGATCTGAACTGAGCCTCTCCCTGGGGCTGGCAGGAGCCCTGGCAGGAGTCACAGAACTAATCCTGTTCCTGTAGGGAAAAACCTGAAGCCCTGAGTTAAGGGAGGGACTCCGGAGGATGAGTGTGGGTGGGAGCTGCTCCAGAACCAGAGGAGTTTTGGTGTTAGCGTTGTTCCAGGTTTATGGTAACACTGAAGTGAGACGTGGGTATGTGCAGGTGTTTTCTTATTCTGATTATTACTTCTAAGGATAAACAGTCTTGTTTTCCAGCAATTACTGCTCCTGTGATACTGAAGTTATGGAGGTGAGAGGCTGCTTCCAGAGACCAGTGAGTGAGAGGTGCAGCTGTGGGATTTGTGCCTAAGGGAAATCAGAATAACTGAATGGGATCAAGCCACAGAGCCACCCAGGCCAGTGTCTTGTCTCTAATGCTCTGCAGCAGTTACCAAAAGGGAACAGGGCAAACAGATATGGATGTGGCAGGTGGTTGGGGCAATTCTTTAGCCACAAGCAAGTAACTTTTTGTTTAATAGCCCCAATGGGTTATTATGAATTTATCTAATCACCTTTTGCAGCCATATAAACTTATGGCATAAACAGCCTCCTGTCCTGGTGAGTGCAGTGGTTTAACTATGATTGGTGTGGAAGAAGAGCTCCTTCCATTTGGTTTGATAATTTCCACTGAGTAACTCCATTCTGAGTCTGTCCCTTCAGAACTTTCACTCCAGGACTGTTTCACATTTTCTGTCATACTGTGAGACAAGGTAATGCTAAACCAGCTTTTACTTTGTGTAATGTTCGGCATTAATTGGCAATTTACATCTCCTTCATGTTTGAAACCTGTGAACTTTGAACATTGTTCCCATGAAGGTTCCACGGCTCTGCTGCTGTTCCTTGTCCAGTGATAAGCCTGATAGCTGTTGCCTTCTTCCACGTGGAGGATCTGTTTCTCCTGAGACTTTGCACCAAGAAGTGGTGACTAATTTGGTCATGAGGTGCACATATGGTGACACCCCTGCTGTGAACAAAAATAAGCTTTCCTTCACACAAAAGTTGATTTTTGTCTCTCTCAAACCTCCTCTTCATTCTCAGGGCATTTCTCTTCCTGGTAGGGATTATTCTTTCTCTCTCTTGTTTCCAAAACAGCCTTCATCCATATTCCATGCTAGTGCCTGTCTCCCTGCATAGAGGACTTCTCCCAGTGCCATGGCTTCTTGAATCCCTGGTCAGAGTGGCTTTCACACCCCACACAGAGAGTTTCATACTGCAGTGTCTTTCCCTTGCATCCCTGAGGTGTTCCCAGAGAACCCTCCTTGTTGACTGATGTCATTTGTGGTGGGAGCTGCTGCTGGCTGTGTCAGATTTCCTCAGGCTTTAAGGGGTGCTGTGCCAGCCTCCCTCTCGTGCCTGATCCCTGGCATTGCACGCTGCTGCTGCAGCAGGTCCTGTTCTGTGTTTGTGTGACCTGAACCGGGATCTGACATCATCCCCCTGCAGGAGGGCTGTGTCTCACATGGGGGGAACCTGCTTAGAAAACACCAAAACACTGGGACTTGCCTGGGTTTGATGGCATTGTGAGAGGACTTTTATATTAAGAAAGCTGTGGTAAAAATTGCAGGTTTTCTGATCCCAGTATTCCTTCAGACCTGTTTCTCTTCAGTGTGTTCAGAATTAGCTCTTGAAGTAGGAGTGACAGTCCATGAGGTAGGATATAAACATCATATGGCTGCCTGCTTCTCTGGAGAGACACTCAGATACAGGATCAGAGGCGAGGTAGAAGAACAAGATGAAAATATATTAAATCCAGCCATCCATGAAAGGCATTCCTCTCATCTTGTGCTGGGTTTTCTCCACAAGAGCTGTGGATTCCAAGGCCTCAGCTTGGGTCTCTCCTACCACAGGGAGCCCAGGTATGTCAGAATGGGAAGAAAGAAACAACTCAGGCCCTGTCGGTGCTGCACAGGGGAACTGCAGGCAGCAAACTATTTCCCTCAAAATTCATGGGAATTCATTGGGACAACTCAGATTGGGTGTACTGGTGAGAACCCCTGGTGCTTTGGGATACCTAAATGACAGCCCTAATAGCCAGGGGCAGATCAGTCACCCTGTTGTGTGTCTGAAACCAAAATAGACAAAGTCCTTTCTGGTGTTAATTTTTTAATACTTTTATTTCCTTCCTATTGGTAATTGCTGACAGCAGCAGAACTGCAGTTGCACATGAGCAGACTTTATTATCTGCCATGGTCCAGCCTGAGTGAGAAGTGAGGGCCCTGTGTATAAAATATAGAATTTACAGACAGTTAGAAAATCCTCATTATTTATCGTTTCCGCAGTTGAATTGTAACCAAAGACCTGCAAGCATCTCTGTTTCAAAGTGAGTGAGTTCATCTAGAATCTCCTTTTAAGTATATTTTGCCTGTCCAGGCAGTCTGGAGATTTATTCTGCAAAGGTGTTGTGGGGCTGACATGTACAAGCTGCTCTACAGAGAGCTGGGAGGAAAGAATATGTTACCAGGATTAGTCTCCTTTCTTCTCATGGGTCCCCATTTTGTTATTTTATGCCTTTTTTGTTACCAAAACACCAGTTTAAAAATCTCAATCTATCTTATCGTCTAGTAAAAACATTTATAAATGTTTTTATCTGTCAGAAAAATAAGTGGTTGTGGTTTTCTTCATGGCAGAGCAGTGTTCATTGTCAGGGTGGCTCAGGGGGCAGGGATTTAATTCAGTGGCATGTGCAAGGCAAAAGTGAAGTGTCAGGAGGCCACGCTGAGCTCATTGCCTAATTACTCACTTATTATCTGTGTGGAAGTCCCAAAGCTTCTAAACAAGAGCTTGGGGAAGGTCTGGCTGACATCCTTTTCTCTTGGACCCTGTGATCTGTTCCAGTTCAGGAAGGTGCAGTGACTGACAGGCCAGAGCACCTGGAGTCCAGGAGTTCCTGGCATCTCACTGCCTTCTTTCCATTTCTGACAGTGCTGGGATTCTTCCTCAGCAGGTTCCAAATCTGAGCCAGGAATCCCAGAGCTCACCCCTGTGCTGTCAGGTCACTGTTCAAGGATTGCAGGATGAATGAAGTCTCAGGAATTTCCCTGATATTGCTGACTCCATGATAACCTCTTTATTTTTTCTCTGCCACCTTGCCTGGATGCCTCCTACCTTCTTCAGATGGTTTGAGCAAAGAACACATCAAAAGGTGTAGGCATGTCTCTCATCAGCTAAATCCCAGCAGTCAGGTTATCTGAAATCTTTTTCTTTCACTGCAAAGTGCCTTCAGGGGTTCTCATTGTGTACCCCAAAAGCACACAGCAAAACAGCTCTCGAGTAAAAACAGCAACAGCACCCCCATCCTGCTCCCTGAAACACTCTGTGTTCACAATAACCCCCCCTGCTTTGATCTCTTGCCAAGAATAACACAGACAGTCTATTCAAACATCTTTAATGACATGATACAATTAAAAATATCTAACGTGCAACTCAAAGAAATGAATATGAAGCTTAAGTCTGTTTCCACAGCCCTCTAAACTTGACTGGCAGGTTCCAAACCTTCATTAATTGGCCTGAAAATGCATGAATACCCCAACATTATGGGGTGTGTGTGTCCTATATTATCAGTTGGGAGCACAAGGGACGAATAATCAGATTTGAAAGGATTTAGGTGCCATGGTAGCTTTAAAAATCCTGCAAGGCTCACCACTGCATCTGTGAGCATTTACATTTCTGTTTAAAGTGGTCTGAAAAGCCTTGGGGACACTCATCCCTGAGGCTCTTAACAGTCTGTGTGTTTTAAGGCTCTGAAGCAGTTGAGAAGAAAGCTCTAAATGCCTCAGTCAAAGGACAGTGCTTGTGAATCGATCCCTGTTCTTCACAGTAACTCAGAATTTGTACAGCACCTCATCTTTCAGACGTGCAGGACAGACCAGAGGAGCTGGAATGACTGCAGGTCCCAGGGGAATCCTGATTATTAGATCATAAAGTACCTCTGGTCGTGGTGAAATATGAAAGTGACAATTAGGAAAGCTTCTGTTCCTGAGTCTGCTCTGGTCTGAAGGGCAGCGTCAGCTGAGACACTTCCAGAGTCAGCTGAGACACTTCAGAGTCAGCAAGAGAAGCAGGTCAGTGCAAATGAACAAACAGGTGAGCCTCAGCCCAGCATGAGCCCAGCTTTAGCAAATGTGAAATTAAATGTGTTCATTTGAGTCCTTGCTAAACAGTTTAAATTGGCAATTTTAACCCTGTGTGGCCATGACTCAGCTGAGAGGCAAAACCTCAGCTGTGTGTCTGTGCCCTTTGCTTCTCCTTTGATCCACTGCACATTTTGTAGAGGCCAAGACTAAGAAGGGTTGGTTTTGAAGGATTCCTGGTCAGCAAGGAGTGTTCATTGGAAGGGACATGTGGCCATCATCAGTGACATGAAAGCACAGACAGATCGGGCAGAAAATATCTGGAAGCAGTTGGCTCTTACATTCTGACTGTGTTTCCAGTCCTCACTAATGGCAATATTGCAGGTATCATCTCTCAAGAGGCCACAGAAGGGGACAGAGCACATTTTTCAGACACCACCTCTTCTGTTTGACAGGATTATACAGCATGAGCTTCACAAGAGCTCAGGGCCTGCCTGCTCAGAGGCATCATTTCAGGTCTGACATGAGTAATCCCAGCTGTAGCCCAAGGAAGAGCCATGCAGGCTGTTCTTGTTTGGAGAATGAGTAGCTTGCCATCCACCAGGAATCACAGACTTCCTGTGGAGCAGGCTCCATTGTCTCAAAGTACAGCAGTGCAAGTACCAGCAAGTTGCTGGGAGCCCTGCAGGAAAACCACTTGCATCCTGCAGTGTGATTTGTGTCTGGACCCTGTTAACTGTGCTGAGTCACAGAGAGCCATCAGTCATCGAACACGCTGCTGTTCCTGTGGCTGGGGCTGCTCTCCTTGGCCATCACTCGGTACGAGATGCGCAGGAAGGAGCCCACGAGCAGCACCACGAAGAGGATCAGGAGCAAGGACCAGACCCCCGGCTCGATGCCCTTGAGGAAGCTTGGGCTGTCCTGGGGGATGCTGCTGGTCAGGCTCAGCAGGTAGCCCAGAGTCCAGGCAGATGATCTGTCACCCATCTGTTGAAATAAAAAGGAGAGGTCAGAAGAGAAGGAGGTGGCCTGGACCCCAGCTGTGTTTGTGTGCATGGGCCCAAGGCTTTGGATGTATTATCTGAGACTGATCCAAGGATTTGGCTTGCAGTGAGTAGCTCTCCCACTCTGAGTGCCCTGAGGACACCAACAGGCCTTAATGGCACTTCCACCCACACCTCTGCCCACGGGCATGGGCACTTCATGTAAGCTCTGGGCAGCCCCTCTCTCCTGAGCTCTGCTCTACAGGAGTGCTGTTCTCTGCTTACTGATGGGCTGTTCTAGTGGATCTCAAGTCTGCATTGTGGATAGTTGTCTCTCTGGCCCTGGTTGAACCTCACACCTATGGTTTAGGTTGCTTGTCTCTGTCTTACCAGGCTGGGCTCCCTGGGGGTCCTGGACCTACCCCATTACCTTGCCTTTTCTGATGGTCATTACTTGGCCCTGCTCAGTGGGACCATGGCTGTGACTGTCAGTTGTGAAGAGGTCTGGAAACAAGCTTTCTTTTCTTTTGTGAAGGGAATGACCTGAATCAAATTCCCCGGTCTTTAGGGCCTCCAGATCCTGGAGCAATTTCAGACCTTATTACAGATTAGGTTAGATTATTAGATATTAGGAAGAAATTCTTCTCTGGGAGGGTGATGAGGCCCTGGCACAGAGTGCCCAGAGAAGCTGTGGATCTCTGAAAGTGTCCAAGGCCAGGTTGGACACTGGGGCTTTGAGCAACCTGGGATAGTGGAAGGTGTCCCTGCCCATGGCAGGGGGTGGAATGGGAAGAGCTTTAAGTTTCCTTCCAGTCCAAAACCAGTCTAGGATTCTATGATGATAAGATATTTATCAACCCTCATGAGTATAAAGGTGATTGCAAAAAGGTAGGGAAGCAAATGTTACCAACAGCTTGTCCTTAGCATTAAGTGAAGATCAAGCTGGACTTCCTTCCCTTCAACACAGATTTCTAAAGATGGTGCTGATCCAGAGAAGATTTTTGACCCATGTGTTTTTCAGAGAGCACAAGTCTAATCCCTGGCTCTTTGACACTGGTTTTCTTGTTTATCACAACTGTAAATCCATTTTACAAAACTGTCCTGCTGGAGAAGCCCAGCTGGTGAGGGCCTGTCAGTGTGGGAGCAGGCTGGCTGTGCTGGGAGCAGCCTCCTGCTCACTGGGAGCACTGGGCTGTAGGAGCTGACCTTCTGGAATGCAGTCCAGGCAGGCTGCTCAAAGTCAAGTGTGTATCCTCTTGTACTGAGATGGAAGATGAAGGCAGACACAGTGCAGTAATCAACAAGTGTATCCAGGCTTGCTTGGGACTCCTTAATCAGCTGGTGCCATTTCCAGAACAACAACCAAAAAAAAAAAAAAAAAAAAAAAAAAAAAAACAAAAAAAAAAAGATGGGG